AAGGCTGAAACAGCATGTGATTGGCATGTAGGAGGTCTGATGTCCCTTCCCTGGTACCGCAGGGTCCCCTGAGCATTTCCAAGTGTGACCCAAATTAAAAAAAATAAAGTGGAGGGGAAGCCTATAATTTTAAGATGCTTTATGAAGCAAATATGAGTTTGGTTATGTGTGTGTATGTATATATGTATACCCCCATATGTATATATATGCATATATATATGCACACACACACACACACACACACACCACACATCCAGCAGTGCTCAGGGTTACTCTTGGCTCTGTGTTCAGGAATCACTCCTGCCAGTGCTCAAGGGACTATAGCAGTTCCCAGAGACCAAACCTGGGTCTGTGTGCAAGGCAAGTACCCGGCCTTCTGTGCTTTCTCTCTCTCTCTCTCTCTAGCCCTTGAGTTTGGGAATTTTAAGAGAGTTCAAAGACAAATTAAACAGAACAGAAAGACCCTTAATAGACCTCAGGAAAAAACAGTCTATCGATGCAGAAGGAAGTGAAGGGGGAAATTGATTACTCAGCAGGGGGGTGCTGAGGGTCTCAGAGAGATTGCAATTCCTCGTGTGACTCAGTGGGAGAAGTGGCAAGGCTTAATGCAAGTGGAACTTGGAAATTGAAAGGAATTGCAATCCCTCTATGAATCTGTCTTTCTTGGATTCAGGCTGCTACTCCTCAGTGTGAGAGGGGTCCTTCATTTTTTTTTCTTTCTTTTTGAGTTACACCCGGCAATGGTTAAGGGTTACTCCTGGCTTTGCACTCAGGAATCACTCCTGGCGGTGCTCAAGGGACCATACGGGATGCTGGGAATTGAACCTGGGTCAGTTGCGTGCAAGGCAAATGCCCTACCCGCTGTGCTATTGCTCCAGCCGCAAGAGGGGTTCTTCTTAAAGTAAACATAGAAGGAAAATGAGAATATAATATATTAAATGGATTTAACACAGCACTTCTAGGACTCTTTTTTTCTTTAATATTAAAATTATAGTTTAGTTGATATGGATACGATCATATTAACACCTGTGGTGTTATTGTATAAAGTTATTTCATCCCTCCCCCACAAAGTGCCCAAGACCACCACTGTCCTCATGTCACTGCCAGTCCCATCTTCATTCTGTGACCCCAGTCACTCTCCACCAAAACCTTATGCTCACGATTACCATAAATGTCCAAGAAAGGCATACAGCATAAAATATTTACCATATTGGTTTACTTTTGAGCCACATTGGACAGAATATTTTTGGATTGCTGTTCCATGCAATGCACTTTGGGAAAACTGGATCAGCCTCAATAGGAAAGGAGCTATTACTGATGGGTATATCACTTTGTACTTTTAATTTTTTTTTTTGCTCTTCTTTGTGTTTGGGCCACGTGACAGTGTTCAGGGTTTACTCCTGACTGTGCTCAGGGTTAACTCAGGGAAGTGCTCATGGGACTGTATGTAATTCCAGGGATTGAATTGGGTTGGCATTGTGCCAGGCAAATGCCCTACCCACTATACGTCTCTTCAGGACCCAGAACATTTTTTTTGAATCTTTGTTTTTAAATACCAGACTGTATTCCTCTTCATTTTTCCAATGTACCACTCCCCCTAAGAACCCCACTTGCAGGAATGCCTTTTTCTCTGCCACAAAAATTTATTCCTGGGCTGGGGATTGGACTTAGTATAAGAGCACATGTCTGAAGCTGGTTTTGGGGCAGGGATTAAGGAAGACACCCCTGGATGTAATATTTGGGCTGAGATTGGACAGAAAAGTTGGATTACTCTTAGCATTTTTTGTTGTTTTTTCTCCCCTACTGGCACTTGAGCCCACATATGTGAGGTGTTAGCTTACCACTATTTATGGATCTCACCTGGAGGTGCACAGGAGCTACTCCTGGTGGTGGTGCTCAGAGGACTTCTGTGGTGCTGGGCATCAAACCCCAGGTTGCCACATGAAAAATCATGAGCTCCAGCCCTATTTGGACCATCTCCCGGCTCTGCTATAACTCCTTAAGAACTACAAGATTTTTATTGCTGCTTGAGAGTTACTCTAAAATATGGATAGCACTGTCGCACTGTCATCCTGTTGTTCATTGATTTACTCAAGCAGGCACCAATAACGTCTGTCTCCATTGTGAGACTTGTTGTTACTGTTTTTGGCACATAGAATATGATACAGGTAGCTTGCCAGGTTCTGCTGTGCAGGTGGAATACTCTCGGTAGCTTGCCAGGCTCTCCAAGAGAGGCGGAGGAATTGAACCCGGGTTGGCCGCGTGCAAGGCAAACTCCCTACCCACTGTGCTATTGCTCCAGCCCAAAATATGAATACACTTGTAAATTTTAAATTTGTAAGAAGACATGAATACCAAGGCTCATCTAGAGAAAACTATTCTCCTTACTGCAGGGCAGAAGATCTTCGCTCTTCTGCTCAAGGTTGAGTCCTCTAGCAAAGAATTTGGTGCATAGTACATTTTGGATAATTTTGCTGCATGGGGCAGCAATATTTATTCAGGGATATTTTCCATGGAGATATTTTATGATGGAGAACTCTTATTTATTTTTTTACTTTGGTTTTTGAGTTACACCCAGTGGTGTTGGGGTTTACTCCTTGCTCTGCGTTCAGGGATCACTCCTGGAGGTGCTCAGGAGGATCGTATATAGTACCTGGATTGAACCTGGGTTGACTATATGTAAGGCAGGTGCTTTACTCCCTTTTATATTCTTCTGGTTTCTGAGGGTACTTATTTTAAGAAATTTGGATTGATGCAGTAGTTTCAGGGACGTCTCAGGGAAGAGCAGGAGACCAACAAAGGTGTGTCTCTTTAGGGAGACTGAGAAAGCTTATGAGCCAGTGAGAGAGTTTAGTGGTGAAAGGGAGTCTGCAGCCTCACCAAGATGGGGAAAAGAAACAACAAGTGTGAAAGTGCAGCTGAAAGCATTTTTTAAAGTGTATTCAGGGAAAGGGCAACACGGAAATCTTTGGAAATAGAAACCTAGTATGTTTCTATTTCCAGTGAAAGGGAAGTCAGAGAGAACCATCTGTGACCCTGGGGTCTCAAGTCAGCAGCTCATTACAATGTGGTTGTATATTGGGGTTTTGTCATTTACAGTGGTATTGAAGATGATTGTGGGATTTTGTGTTTTCGAAGATCTTGCTCTTTTGAGGATTTAGGCACAGGTTTGGGAAGTATTTGCCACATAAAAAAATTCTGGGGTCAGTGGTGGTGGAGAATGGGCACTGGTGGAGGGATGGGTACTCGATCATTGTATAACCGAAACCCAAGCACAAAAATTTGTAAGTCTACAACTGTACCTCATGGTGTTTCACTAATAAAAATTAAAAAAAAATTCCCAGCAGAATGGTCCACTGGTGGGGCTCTCCCAATCCTGGGCACTGGGAGCTGGACTTCTCATCAAATGGGATGGCCAAGGACTAAGATTAAGATGCCAATTATTGGGGCTGGAGTGATAGTACAGCGGGTAGTGCATTTGCTTTGCATGTGGTTGACCCGAATTCTATCCCCGGCATCCCATATGGTCCCCCAAACACCGCCATGAGTAAATCCTGAATACAGAGCCAGGAGTAACTCCTAAGCATCGCTGGGTGTGACCCAAAAAGAAAAAAAAAGATGCCAATGGAGTGAAAGGACTGCTCTCATTCATCTCTTTTTGGAAAGGGAATCCTGGCTAGGGATGAATAAATCATAAACACGCACCATGTCTTCTTGTGACTCACTTCCATTTTGACAAGGAGCTAGTGCTCCATGCCCACCAGGAAGGTTAAAGTTTTAATTTTGGGCGTCCTCTCCTGAGGATTCCAAATATCTCTTCACCATAGAGGTGAAAGCTATGCCCATTTCCACCTCAATTCTTTATTCTGCTTCAGGCCCTCATTGGCAGTTCTCTGTTGTAGCTGAAGTTCTGTATGATATAAGAAAATAGTTGTATGCTGGGTGGTTGAGAGTGGCTGTGATTCTCATCTCTTGTTGGCTCTGGGGTTGGTCCCAGTGTTTGAGGGACTTCTATAGGTTAACTAGTCAAAACTAGTTTACTGAATGATCTTGTGCTGGTTAGGAAGCTGTACTGTCTGTCTCGTCCCAACTTTATGATTTTTTTCATCATTTCCCTTCCGATTTTTCCTTTGATATCTCATCATCACATGAAACCCCCAGGCAAGGACAATCAGTTGCTTTTCTGGTCACAGGGACACACCAAAAGGCAGTTTAGTCATCACAGAAGTTCAAACCCTGATGAAAAAATTAATGTTATTTTTAAAAATTAAATTTAAGCATTCAGAGAGACAGTACAGGGGCTACTATCTACAGTATACCATACCTAAAGTTAATCTTGCTCCGGAGTGCTAAGAGTTCTTCCTGGATGGGATCGGTTGCGATTCACTGCCCAATCCTGTCATATGCTCTACACTTCAGCTCAACCAAACCCATGGAGTGCTGATTATGAAACCCATACTTCTGATTATGCTCATTGTTTTACTTGAAACTTTCTACTATTACTCTATCATTTCTTTCTTTCTTTCTTTCTTTCTTTCTTTCTTTCTTTCTTTCTTTCTTTCTTTGTGATTTCTTTGAACTGCGTACTCTTCCGGTGTTTTACTCATTACCTGTATTGTAAGTTATTGCTCAAGTCAGTCTTGCCTCCATTTGCGAGTCATTTGCTCTTTATTGCTTAGTCCTAGTACAGAGACTGATTCCATGAAGGCACTCAATATAGATTTGTGGGATGAATGGATGGAGGATGGTGAGAGGAGTCTGATGAGCCTAAAAATATAGGCTAGCGTTGAGCCAACATCATTGTGTATCATCCCCCTCCCCCAGAGAAGAAAACAGAACATTGAGGAGAGCTTGGGGTTATGGCCAGGATATGGCATGGTAGTAGTTATGAATAGGGAAGTAGTTAGTTTGTGGGAACACAGTGGCCTTCTGGGAGGTTCAGTTCTTGTTTCCTCTACATAAAAGGACCCTAGGGAGAGGGTGGGTGCGGGAGATTCAGGATGAACGCTGATGAGAGCAAAGTGCCTGATGCGCATTTCTCAGTAGTGAAGCAGCTTGTCGCCCTCTGGCCTCGAGGCAAGTGCCAGTCTGTGCCATGTCCATACTCACCCTGTGTCTTTTTTTTTTTTTAACATTTTTTATTAGTGAATCACCGTGGGGTACAGTTATAGACTTACAAACTTTCGTGCTTGCATTTCAGTCATACGATGATCGAGTACCCATCCCTCTACCAGTGCCCATTCTCCACCACCAATGATCCCAGTATCCCTCCCACCACCCCCAACCCCTTATCCCCCACCCACCTCGGCTCTATGGCAGGGCAGTCCCTTTTATTCTCTCTTTCCTTTTGGGTGTTGTAGTTTGCACTAGAGTGTGTCAGTCTTTTAACGAACTCTCTTCTTCCCACAGAGCCTCCTCCCAAGGTGGGTCCATTTCTGGCTCCAAGGGGGTGCCCCACGCTCCGTGCGGCACTGATCTGCCTGGCACTGGTCCTGGTTGCCTCCATGGTACTGCAGACCCTTCTCTTTAAGTGTTCAGGCACAATGCTCTGGTGTACTCCTGTTGGTAGTGGAATCTTCTACCCCCCACCCTACCCCCGGACTTGAGAAAGCAGAGGGAGGGAATGTCTTCTCTCTTCAATGCTTTGGGACTCAGATTTGGAGCGATGGGCAGATTCCTCTCTGCTTTGAGTACTCTGGGATTATTTGTGGTCTCCTCTATGACATTCAAACCTGTAGCCTGAACCATGTGGGGCAGTAGGTGGGGTGAAGGAAGGGAAGAAATTATTTCATAATTCCCTTTCAAAAAGGGTCTTTCTTGCTCATGATGGGAGATGTGTAATGAAAGTAAACTATAGACCAAATACAATGGCCACTTACTAACTGTTTTGCAAGCCATAATACCCAAAAGGAGAGAGAGAGTAAAAGGGAATGTGTCTTCCACAGAGGAGGGGGTAGGGTGGGGGTGGCAGGAGGGATACTAGGGATATTGGTGGTGTAGAATGGGCACTGATGGAGAGATGGGTATTCGATCATTATATGGCTGAAACTTAATCACGAAAGTTTGTAAGTCTGTAACTGTATCTCATGATGATTCATTAAAAATAAAAAGCATGAAATAAAAAATGTAAAATGCAAAAAAAATATAAAAGCAGGTGGATCTTTGAAAGAAGAGGGCTGGGAATCAGATGATAAGGCCCAGAAGGAGGTGGGGAGAATGGAGGCATTAATTAAAGGGATGCCTTTGCCAAATGGGCCCTCAGTGCCCCAAGAAACGTTAGTGTGGGCTGTAATCTCTTCCTTTGTTTGCCTGTGAACTTCTCATAGTTCAGAGCTTGTGTTTCTTTTAACCATCTTTGCATTTTGTGCATTTGTCATAGTTACTGGCACAGGGGTTGGAGCAATAGTACAGTGGGTAGGGCATTTGCCTTGCACAGGGCTGACCCGGGTTCAATTCCAAGCATCCCATATGGTCTCCTGAGCACCGCCAGGGGGCAAACAACAACAACAACAACAACAACAAAACCCCAAAAAACAGAGTTACTGGCATATTTATGGCTGGTGCCCACTGCATGTTTGTTGACTGTAATGCAATATGAATGAATAGGGGATGAGCCAAAGCTTCTTGGATTGAGTCCTAGGAAAGCTTGAGCCTTTCCCTTCCTTTCCCTTCTTCCCCTGAACACCTTATCTCTATTCTGCCTTTGGTTGACCTTCTGGCTTTTTCAAATCCAGATTCCTGGCATCAGGGGAAAATATCAGATGTTAAAACCAATGCCCAGTAACTGAACAGTCTGATGGGCAATATCAGCACCTTACATTCTGAAATTAAGAGAAACAGAGATGGTGTGGAGGCAACTGCTGGTTTGGACTGTGAATGCCGGCTTAAATCAAGTGCTTTCCAAGATCCTGAAGGTGGAGATCAGTGTGAGTCAAACCAATGCCCAGATCCAGCTGTTAACAGCCAGTTGGGAGGAAATCAATATTTAAAGTCCCAAATTCCAGAGTTAAGAAGAAATCTAGAGGATGCCAGTGCTTTGAATGCAAAGATTCATGAACTCCAGAGAAATCTGGAGAATATCAGCAAGCTGTTCAAACAGCATTCTCCTATTCTCCTGTCCATGATTCAGGGAGTATAGTCACCATACCTATCTCCTAAGAAAGCACTTAAAAGGCAGAATAATCTCATTTTTGATTATTTTAGTTTATATTTCAGAGTCTCCTGCCCCCGCGCCTAGCTGTCCTCATCGGGGCCCCTTGGAGGGGGGAGGGTTGAGTTTCTCTCCTCCCCCCCGCCCCGAGCAGAGCCCCAGCAGCTGAGGACCTCCAGAGCCAGCCACGGCCATGCTGGGACCACTCTCCACAAGTCCAGACGGGCCTGATGCATGAAAGAAGCGGCAGAGGAACCCAGGCATGCGGGTCCCGGGGCTGAGGTCTCCAAGCCTACTCGGATTGGGACTGGGCCTTCTCCACCCAGACCCCCCATCTTCCAGTAGGTAGGCATCACACCCATCAGCTGCCACCAGCGCCAGGTTGGTCCCATCAACAGCCAAGATGCAGAGACTATAAAACCCAGCTCCCGGAAGTACGTGGCCGCATTTGCAGCCTCGTGACATCTTATTATCTTATTTTTCCTTTGGAGAACCTGGCAGGCTACCAAAAGTATCCTGCCCGCACGGTAGAGTCTGACAAACTTCCCGTGTCGTACTCAATATGCCAAATACCAGTAACAATGATGGTCTCACTCTTCTAATCCTGAAAGAGCATTGAAATGACTCTTTTAAAATCTCAGGGCTAGGAAGGAGACGTTACTGATGCCTGCTCGAGGCAATCGACGAACAACAGGATGATCGTGATCGTGATCGTGATATTTCAACAAAACTAAGGATTGCTTTAGCTATTCATGGGGGTTTATTGTTCCAGTGAATTTCAGGAGTGTTTTGTATATTTCTTTGAAAAATGTCATGGGTGGGGGCTGGAGTGATAGCACAGCAGGTAGGGTGTTTGCCTTGCACGTGGCCGACCCGGGTTCGATTTCCAGCATCCCATATGGTCCCCCGAGCACTGCCAGGAGTAATTCCTGAGTGCATGAGCCAGGAGTAACCCATGTGCATTGACGGGTGTGACCCAAAAAGCAAAAAAAAAAAAAAGTCATGGGTATCCGCATTGAATCTATGCAATGCTTTGGGGACTATTGACATTTTGATAATGTTAATCCTTCCGATCTGTGAGAAGGGAGTGCATCTCCATTCAGAGAAGTGGGTTAATAAACAAGATATATAAAGGACTGGTAGAACTTTATAAGAAAAAATTCTTCAACCCCATCAAAAAAATAGGGAGAAGAAATGAACAGAAACTTCCACAAAGAAGAAATACAAATGGCAAAAAAGGCACAAGAAAAAAATGCTCTCGATTACTGATCATCAGGGAGATGCAAATCAAAACAACAATGAGATATCACCTTACACCACAGAGACTGGGACTCATCAAAAAGAATAAGAGCTAACCTGTGCTGGCACAAATGCAGGGAGAAAGGGACTCTTATTTATTGTTGATGGGAATGCAGACTTGTCCACCTTTTTTCAAAAACAATACGGACTTTCCTCAAAAAACCAGAAATTGAGTTTTCATATGACTCAGCAATGCCACTTCTGGGAATATACCCCCAGGGTGGAAAAACACACAGCAGAAATGACATCTGCACTTGTACGTTCATTGCAGCACTGTTCACAATAGCCAGAATCTGGAAACAACCCAAGTGTTCGAGAATAGTATACTGGTTAAAGAAACTGTGGTACATCTACACAATAAAATACTGTACAGCTATTAAAATGAAGTCATGAAATTTGCTTATAAATGGGTGACATGGAGAATTATCATGCTGAGTAAAATAAGTCAGAGGAGAAGGACAGACATAAAATGACTGCACTCATTTGTGTTATATAAAATAGTACGAGACTAACACCCAACAGTAGAAATAGTAGAAATAAGGACCAGGATGAATGGTCCACTGTTAGAAACCTGCCTCAAAGGCTGAGGAAGAGAGAAACTGGGATAGAGATGGGTCCATTATGACAATGATCGTTGAAGGGATTGCTCTGGATGGGAGATGTGTGCTGAAAGTGGTTAGAGGACCAAACATGATGGCCTCTCAGTATCTTTATTGCAAACCATAATGCCCAAAATAAAAGAGAGAGAGAGATAAAAGGAAAGTGCTTGCCATAGAGCATAGAGAGCATAGAGGCTGGCTGGGAGGGTAGTGGTGGCAGGAGGGATACTGGGAATGTTGGTGGTGGTAGATGTACACTAATGGAGGGATGGGGGTTGGAATATTGTATGACTGAAACCCAATCATGAAAACTTTGTAAATGTATCTCATGGTGATTCAATTAAAACAGAAATAAAAATAATAAAACCTGTAAAATTTAAAAAAAAGATGTTCAAACAGCAAAGTAAGTAACTTAAATAAGAATGGGATCAAGTGATCAATGGCCATGGAACCCTGCCAGTCTCAGGCAGGAAACAATGGCTGGTGTGGCTGGTGTGTGTGTGTGTGTGTGTGTGTGTGTGTGTGTGTATGTAAAAAAAGGGAGAGGAGCAGGATAGACCAGACTGAAAGATTAAGAAGAGAGGGTTCAACACTGGGGTTGGAGGGGACTTGGAAGCTCTCCGGATAGAAGAGACTAGGGGTTATCTCTAAACTTCTGCACAGTGTAGGGAAACATTAGGAGTCTGTCCTGACCCAAATTAGTCACTTTCCATTAAGTTCCCCACTCAGAGACCAGGGACACAGCCACTTGTGAAGGCTGATGTAGAATTGCTTTTCCCTCATGGAGAAGGACTTTTCACTTTTCCATCCGTGGGAAACCCTGTGACTGCCAATCTCACTTAGATTAAGGATCTGAGAGTTTCTTTAATCTCTATTATAAAGATCCAGTGCCTTCAGAGCTCACTCACTGACTGCTGACATCTCAGGGGTCCCACTCCACTCCTCTCATGAAACCAGGGTGCAGAGAGCAGAGCAACACTGGTGTTTACTTTTTCCCATTGTCCTCAGGTGGATATTCTACAGATGGTTTCTCAAGGCTGGAAATACCTCCAGGGGAACTTCTATTATTTTTCAAAAATCTCCAAGACCTGACACAGTTCTCAGCAGTTCTGTCTGTCTAGGGATTCACAACTAACTTCCGTGACCTCAGACAGTGAATAGATGAGTGCTGCTCTCTTGGACTCTAGGAAAGGGAGAATCACGAGCAGGTGTGTCAGGCAGGATGCACAACATTATGCTGCAGTAATGAAAATCCTCAAAGCTCAATTGCCTAGCAGTGAATGGTTACTTCTTTACTAGCACAACGTGTTCTGCAAGACCCAGCAGGACTTCTGCTACTGTGGCTACTCAAGGCAGGTCCTTTATCTTAATCAATATATGCTTCTACAGTTGCTCAGGTTGGAAAGGGGAACATGGAAAATTGTATGTTGTCTTTGGAAACTTCTGCCCAGAATTAACAGGCATCACTTCTGCTTACCTTTGATTGGACAAAGGAAATTAGGCAATACTCCCAAGTTCCAAAGAGGGAGAGAAGACAGTCTCTCTTTGCATGCAGAAGACAAGAATATTTTCAAGTATGCATTCATAACACCATATCATGTAAGAAACTTCCAAAATGGTGAGGCAGAGAATGGAACAATCCTCTCCCATCTGGGAGGTGGGCTGGCAGCACAGCTCAGAGTGCTGACTCTACATGCAGACTTCAGAGTCCCTATCTCATTTCTATCTCATTTTTGAGTCCTGAATAGGTGATAATCTCATGAGGTATAAGTTTGTTGGACTTAATGCTAATGGCACCTACCTCAGAGAATAAATGAATAAAGGCAAATAAAGGACTTAGCCTGGTTCTCTGTGTAAATCGGGCGCTCACTAGTGTTAGATGCTATCGTTAGAATCATTTTCCCAGCACCTGCTTCCAGAGGGTCAGAAAGGTGTAGGTGCTGAGCATGTCAGTTTTGGGGCAAATACAAGCTAGTCTCTGGAAGATGGTTCAGGGCTCTGGGTGTAGCTGAAGGAGACTTCAGAGCCAGTATGTAAAGTGTGTCTGAGGGTTCCAGGGCTGCCCTTGAGGATGGGTCAGGAGCATCCAGAGCGACAGATGCTCTGGCCCTGAGTCTCATCTGTGCTGCATTTTCCCCTTTGTCTTCCTTCCAGGAGTTTCTGTACAAGACTGCAGAAGAGAATTCCTACTGGATCAGCCTGAGCAAAGTGTGTGTGTGGGGGGGTGGGGGTGGGGGGTAGAGTCAGGGGCCATGGATCTGGGTGGATCACACACCATTCAACAAGAAACAAAGTTCCAGGTGAGTTCTCAAAGGTCTCAGCTCAGTCTCACTTTCTGAGCCAGGGCCAGAAGCAGAGTTGACTACAGAGATAGACCCCTGGACTGAAGACTAGATCCCCTCTGCCATGCATTGGCTGTGCAAACAGGGCCGAGACCATGGCTTGTGGGAGGACTTGGGTTTGTAGGTGTGTATTTCATCTGCCCAGGTCACAGTTTGTCCAGGGCTTTGAGAGTACAGCAGTCCTTTCTTGGGGCATGATTGCAGGCTTAGAGGTGGATGGCTCATGAACCCCTTCTCAGGTCTGGGAGAACCCTGCCAACCGTCAGCTAGTAACAGGGCTGCAAGGAAGCTGTAACTTCTTCACTGGAAAGGCTTTCTTTTGTTTTTCCCTCTCAGTAGGTACTGGAAACCCAGGGAACCCAACAATATGGGGCACGATGAACTCTGTGTCTATTTGAGGCTGTTTGCATTCCAGTCATGAAATGATGTCTCCTGTGACCTCACATATCAATTTATCTGCAAATGGCCCTACACCCTGTCAGCTGCATAGCAGGACTGGCCCAGAAGTCAACCCTTTGCCTTCTACCTTTGTCCAAGTGAGGAAATGCTGCTCTCCTCATCCATTCTCCAGCACACTTTCACACCCGTCTGTGCTCAGGGCTTAGTCGTAGTTCTGTGCTCAGGGGCCATTCCTGGTAGTGCTGGGGATTGAACCTGGGCTGGCTGTGTGTGGCACCTTAATTTTTTTTTGCTTTACAACCGATAGCACAGCGGTAGGGCGTTCGCCTTACAAGCGGCCAACATGGCCGACCCGAGTTCGATTCCTCCACCCCTCTCGGAGAGCCCGGCAAGCTACCGAGAGTATTCGAGATGCCAGACACAGTAACAACAAAGTCTCCAATGGAGACGTTACTGGGCCCGCTCGAGCAAATCGACGATCAACGGGAGGGCCTTTACCTTTACCTTACCTTACCTTACAACCATCCCCAAGACATAGGAGAGTTCATTCTCCTGGGTTGGGAATTATTACACCCCAGCAAGGCAGCCGAAATGAAAGGAGACCTGGATTAAAATGGGAGGGGAGGACATAAAGGACCTCGAAGTTCAAATTGCCTCATGAGGTGAATCAGGACCCATGACCAGGGAATCCCCACTGAGCTTTCTGTTTCCTCAGAAAAACCTCGGCTTTGTTCCATCCTGATAAAGACTCTCTGAGCTTTTCTGGTTGTTGCACCAGAATTTGAGTTGCCTGCTTGATGGCGCTGCTGGCTGGCAGGTGTGCTCAGGAGAGCAAAAGGAAAGGCTCTATCCATGCCGTGTCCCCATCACCCTCTTTGTGCATGCCTCTGGAGTCAGAGGCCTCATTACTGATTTTGTTTCAGTGGATCCACTCCAGGACCTCAGACCTGCAGTCTCATCTAGACCTGCGCTTGAATCCCTCTCACTTTATCAGCTCAGCTCTATGTCCACCATCCTCCGTCCAGCCTCTCTGTCCTGCCTTCTATCCTCCCTCTTTCTCCTTCATTGCATCTTCCCGGGCTCTGTGCAGGCTAAGTGGCCTGTGACCCTAGAGTTCCCTTCCAAGATTATGAGAATAAAATGCTGCCTGGGCAAAGGCCTCCCTCTGGGTCCACGTTTATCCTCCAAGTGCAGGTGAGTACAAATGCCACCTGCCTTGATGCACCACAAGATCTGGGGCATCCTCAGCAACCAATTGATGGTTCAAAAGTAACATAAAATAGAGAAGGTCTAGGCCTATAAATGGCATGACACCTAAGCAGCACCTGCCGCTCACTTGCATTGAGACGCAGACCAACAGTAGGCCTCACCTTTGCAGTCCTTCCTCACCGAGGTCTCTCACCAGGCTGCCCTTTTCTAGCTTTCCTTCTGTGGAGGAGATGTGACAGGTGCCCTGTCATAGAGATGGCTCACCACCTCGGACCCCAGTTCTGGTCCAGCAGCCGAGAACCAAAAGGAAGAGGGGCCAAAGAGGAAGCCCAAAGAGTTTGTGATGTTCTCTGTTCTCTTCGATGAATTAGTTAGGGTACCCCAACACCTCCAGAGAAGATTTTACACATGTGTCCAACATCTCATAGTTATGGACTGTAGCTCTGGGCATACATTAGCTGAGCCCTTTGGAAGTCACAGGCTCTGTTAGTGGCTTAGAGACCTGAGATGTTATTGGCACTTTCATTTTGCCCAAAAGGATTGCTTACATTTTCTTCTTCTTTTTATTTATTTATTTATTTATTTTTGGTTTTTGGGTCACATCCGGTGATGCTCAGGGGTTACTCCTGGCTCTGCACTCAGAAATCACCCCTGGAGGTGCTTGGGGGACCATATGGGATGCTGGGAATCGAACCCCGGTCAGCCGCATGCAAGGCAAACACCCTACCCTCTGTGCTATCGCTCCAGCCCCTGCTTACATTTTCTGACTGAGGCAGACTGTTGACTTTCCCTGCCTTGGCCTCTGAGGCATTGTACCCACTGATTCTGAGGAATCATTTGCTGAGTGGACTAGATTTGAAGGTAGCCCAGTGATGAAAATTTTGAAGATGGTTTAAGATTGTCCCCTGACAACTGAGAAGGAAAAAAATAAAAACCCGAGGAATCCTCTGTCAGTATCTTCTCATACGACAAGTACTTCCAGACACTCCAGGCTTATTATCTGAAAGGGATTAGTGTTAGGGATCAAAGCCAGGGACTCATGCATGCAATGCTCTGAGCTCCATGCCGAGCCCGTCAGGTTTATACACTTCTTGCCCCACTCCTGTTGACAGTTATTTCTCCAAAGGACACAGACTTCTTTTTACTTGGTGAGATATTAGGAACGAGCATCATCAGGGTGGAGAGATAGTACAGTAGGTAAGCTGCTTCAACTGACCTGGATTCAAACCCCAGCACATATATGGTCTCCAGAGCACTGTCTGGGGTGATTCCCTGAGTACAGAACCAGGAGTAAGTCCTGAACACTACTGGATGTGGTCCAAAATGAAAAAATAAATATATGAAAAAAAAGGAGAAAAGAGGTGTCATGTGTGACCACTGCTATTGGGGTGTCATTATTTCTTCAAGCTGAGAGCCGAGTAATGTTTATGTGTATAACTGATTTTTTGTTTTGAAGGAAATGATCATTATATATGCATTAAGGGCCAGGTAACAAGGTGGGGAGGACAGCTGGAAGACTCATTGAACTGAATCCCAGAGAATTGGGGTGAGTTCTTCTGCTGTAGGACTGATGTAGGATGTAAAGTCTGCTCACTCTGCACCTGGGTCCAGATGCCCAAAGTTGCCGCTCCTTTCTGACCATGTGAGTCTGGGCTTTGGCACCAGTGCCAGGCAGTCTCTCCTAACAGTGACCCAGGCAGCCCACTCAACCCCAGCTCTGAGGCGTCAGAGGAAAGCGTTTTCTCTAACAATTCCATAAAACCCAGCATTGGGTGGCCTGCTGGGCCCTGAAACCGGAACAAGAGCAGGGACTACATGTTATGTTGACTCAGGCACAGAGTTTAGACTCAGCCTTGCCCCCTCCTGGACAGACGGAGGGAAGGCGGGTCTTGGTTTGTAGCCCAGGAGAGATGCTTGAAGGAGGGAGAGCAGCAGTTCCATCCCCTGCTTGCTGGTTATTCATTGTCTCTCCTTTCCTTTTTCTCAGGATGGTTGGATGGAGCCTCTGCCCAGAGCACAGTGGGCTGTCAGGGATGACTGACACACACTGGGGCATCTGCAGTAGCTAAATCACAGCTGTCTAGGGTCGTGGCTCTGAACCCTCTGCTAGGGGCAGGAAGATCCAACATGTGGGTTTCCGAATCCCTGGTAGTTTTGCTGTTGGTGTAAGAACTAGTAAGAAGGGCCAGTTAGTAGTTTTCTGACCATGGCACAGAGGGGCACGCACCCCAAAGGGCTTCTCCTGAACAGCAGACACTTCCACATGGGAAATCCCACACAGAACTCACAGGAGCTCTGAGCTTGGAACCCGGGAGAAGACCCACCGGGATTATTCTACCACAGAACTTTTGTCATGCCAACTGTGAGGGTCCTGAGGAGCTGGGTGTCACCCAAGTTCCTCCTGTGACCTGAAGATTTCTGCCACACCGAGTCAACTTCCTCCTTTGCCTGCCTCCTATGACAAAAGAGGGCCTGGGGCCAGGATTAAGTGCACAGTTGACAGGGCAGTGCTGTGAAGAAATTGTGACCCCTTCATAAATGGCTGGGGGGAAGGACTTTATGACTGTGCAGAGCCTAATTCTGGGGGGCTGGAGTGTGAGCCTGGGTCCGAGGGGAAGAGGAAGGGCAGGAACTCCAGGGAAGAGGGAGAAGAGAGGGCCTGGCTTGCAGAGCTGGGCAGGAGAACTTACTGACGCCAGGGAACCCCATCCAGGGGGAGGGGCCCCTGGATGCTTCTGTAGAGTCAGCAGGGGGCGGAGGCTGGGCTTCTGGGGGGTCATAACCTGATCCCCAGCATATAAGCTTCGGGAGCCTTTCGGGTTCCCTGCACTGGCCTGGTGGCAGGGAGTTGTGTTGAGGATGAAGAGCGTGGAGATGGACGGCAACCAGGCCCTCTTCTGCACGGACGCCCAGAGTGTCTCTCTACATCCCCAAGGTGAGGAAGCTGGGGCCTCAGTCCATAATTGGGGGCTGACCTGCTTGTCCCCCGACCCTCTGCCATTTTCTCAGCCTCTTCTTGGCAGCCCAGGGCTCAGTTCCTGGCTAAATCAGCCTTCAGAACCACAGGGCAGGTCAGCCAGTGTTTAGAGAGGAGACAGACAAAGAAGGAAAGAAATCAAGGGGGGAAGAAGAGAACGAGAGGTAACAGGTGAACAGGTATCAGGGCTTCAGCTCTACCAGTGACATGAGTGACGGATATAGCCATAAACCCAAACAGATTCAATAGAACTGAAAACATGAGACTTAGTAATGTGACTGTTAAGTAGACAAACGCGGGTGGAGTGAGGGTTGGGATGGGGAGGGAATCTGGGAAAACTGGAGGAGGGAAGTAAACACTGGTGGAGGGACTGGTGTTGAATTATTGTTTGCCTAAAACTCAACTCTCAATAATTTTGTAAATCATGACTCTTTAATAAAAAAATATTAAAAATCTCACAAGGTAGGAGAGCCTGGGGCACACCCCGTCCCAGCACCCTGCGTCCCCAGATCCTTTTCCTGTGTCATGACAAGCTAGCAGGACCACAGGCTGCCTTTGGATTGAGGGCCTCTTGCTCTCGAGTCCTGTGGCATACGGTCTGGCCCTTGGGGTCTCAGGGCTCCGAGCTGATTCCCTGTTGGCTTTTTATTCCCAACCACAGCCCCCAGATTCCTAGGCACAGCATTTTTAGCACCCCCACAGGGGACTTCCTGATGCCAGCAGAGAGATACTGGATTTCTGGATGGCTCCATGTTGGGGGTGGGTGAGTTGGGGGCAGCCCCAGAAGGCCCAGAGTCTGGCTCCAGGACTCTGAGACCCTCCCCTGCTCTGTCCCTTTCTCTCGCCTTTCTTTCCTCATTCAGGCCACACTTTTGTCCATGGCCCCGCTGGCCAACTCTCAACTGTGGTCTCTGTTAACTGTTGGGTCACTGCTATGCCTCCCATCCGCCCACCCCCAACCCCCTCCCACTCTCCTGAAAAGGTTGGAGAACATTTGAAAGGACTCCCTTAAACTTCTTCACAGCAAACAGGGCAAGTATGCCTGGTGCCATGGGCTGGGAGCTGGAGCCTGAGCCTGTGGGGCTGACCAGTGTCACCCAGCAGGCCCCTAGATGCTGCTTCTCCCCCCCAGGAAAACTCCGAATCTCCAGGATCCCAAGGGTGCTTCGGATTACTCTGGCATTTATGACGGCCGCCCTTGCCTCGGTCTTTGTGGCTCTTTGTGTTATTGGTAAGTTTTTAGTTTGACCCAAATCCAATGACATGCCCACCTTCCTCCTGCAAGAAAGGTCAGACCTAGGCACAGTAGTTTGACCTTCAATCCGAGTCCCAAACCAGAAATTTCTCAGGAGCTGTAGAAACCACTGCCTCAGGGGGCTTCCTAAACTAAGCTCCCAGAGGGTCCTTGGCTTCAAACTCGTGACTCAAGTTTGGGGGAGAGATTGGAGGGAGTCTGTTCCCTGGCTCAGGGCTGACCCTGGAATGGGGTGTCAGCTTTGCAGAACCGAAGACATGCCCCTGAGGCTCACGCCTTCCTGCAAGACTCTCCAGAAGTGAACAGCACCAGGAAGGAAGTGGACGGTGAGTCGCCACGGTGGGGCATGGGGGTGGGTGCAAGTTGGGGATCTTGGCTGACCCTCGGAAGGGCTTCTCCCCTCATAGTCCCAAGCCCTGAATCCAGAATCTCTCCGTACTCTGTACAGAAGAACTCCTTTTTTCCTTTTCTTTCTTTTTTTTTATGTAAAGGGGGTTTCTTTTTTTCAAACTGCTTTATTGAGTTTTAAGTGATATAGTAAAACAGTTTTCGAGTTTACAAAATTTTTTTTAATCTTATTTACTGAATCACAGTGAGATACACAGCCATAAGGTTGTTCATGATTGGGTTTCAGTTATATAATGTTCCAACATCCATCCATTTAACCAGTGTATATTTCCCACCACCAATCTCCTGCCGCTATGGCCGGTATGTTTTTTCCTCTTCTCTCTCTCTCTTTCTCTTTTCTATCTCTCTTATCTTTCTCTCTCCCCTCTCCCTCTTCTTTTGGACATTATGGTTTGCAATACGGCTACTGAAAGGTTATCATGTATATCCATTTACCGACTTTCAACACTCAGTTCTTGTCCCAGAGTGATCATTTCTAACTAATATTGTCATACTGGTCTCTTCTCGATCCTAAATGCTCTTTGCCTTCCCCGACCCCACATACACACACACCTGTGGCAAGCTTCCAACCACAAGTTGGAAGTTCTCCTGGCCCCTGTTTTACCTGACTTTGGGTATTAGTCTCATACTATTTTTTTTATATTCCACAAATGAATGCAGTTATTCTATGTCTGTCCCTCTCCTTTTGACTCATTTCATTCAGCATGATACTACGTCCATCCATTTAGAAGTGAATTTTATGGCTTCATATTTTCTAACAGCTGCATAGTATTTCATTGTGAAGATGTGCCATAATTGCCATAATTTCTTTATTCAGTTGTCTGTTCTTTGATACTTGGGTTGTTTCCAGATTCTGGCTATTTATTATGAATAATGCTGCAGTGAATATAGAAGTGCAGATGGTGTTTCTGATGTGTGTTTTTTGGCCCCAGAGTATCATTCCTAGAAGTAGTATTGCTGAGACAAATGGGAGCTCAATTTCTAGTTTTTGGAAAAATGTCAATATGGTCATTTCTTACATATGTATATACCCATGATATCATCACTACAGTCATGATTGAGAACATATTGATCAGTCATACCTCAAAGTTTACTTGCGTCTTTTTTCTAATTCCCCTCGCATTCCTTCATTCTCAGTCAATAACTGAACTACTGGCTAGAACATGGATTTCTAGGCTTTTCTAGAGTTTTAGATGCTACTTTTGGGGTGTTGGGGGTGGGTCACACTTGATAGTGGTCAGGAGCTACTGCCTAGTTCACTGCTCAAGGATCATTCTAGGAAATGATGTGATACTGGGGATGGAGGCTGGAACAAAAGCAGAGTCAGCTACATACGAGGTAAGTGCCTTGCTCCCCTGTACTGCCTGCCCAGCCCTGGAGTTTTATATCAAAATGACATACGTGTTGTATGTGCTCTTTCTTTTGTCCTTTTGAGTTGTGTCATTTGCAAGTATTTTCTCTCAGCTTATGGCTTGTCGTTCTCTCATTAAGATTTCCATTATGTTAACATCTAGTTTATCATGATGTCTCTTCTTTGAAGGAGAGTGTTTCAGTCTCATCTTTGGAAACTTTACTGCCAAGATTACAAAGTTCTTTTTCTGGAAATCTTACAGTCTAGTGTGTTATAATTAGGCCTGTGGTTTATTTTATTTTATTTTTATATTTATTTAACTTTTTTTTCTTTTGGGGTCACACCCAGAGATGCTCAAGGGTTACTCCTGGCTCATGAACTCAGGAATTATTCCTAGCTGTGCTCGGGGGATCATATGGGATGCTGGGAATTAAACCCGGGTTGGCCACGTGCAAGGCAAACCCCCTACCTGCTGTGCTATCACTTCAGCCCCCTATGGTTTATTTTAAGTTAATTTTTGTATACAGGTGAAAGCTCTGAACCATAATTTATTTTTTGATATACAGATATATAATTGTTCCCGCACCTTTTATTGAAAAGATGATCATTTTCTCCATGAATTACCTTAGTACTTTTGTTGATAATTAGTTGTCCACAGACTCGTGGGCCTATGTAAATTCTTTGATTTATCCAACTGATCAAATTGTTTGTCTTTAAAGGCAGAATATTGGGCAGAGATTTCCTATCCCTCAGATGTCCAACTACCCCTAGCACAGTGGCCAAGGGCCCCACAACCCCCCTACATGGGAGGAGAAAAATAGGAGTAGAGTGAGAGTGTTCCAGAATCTTCCTTGGGTTCTCCTTCCTCTTCCTGAGGAGAACCTCAGGTCACGAAAGCCTGTTATTCAACCCAGTTCATGAACTGAGCAAATGGAATTAGTAGAACTGGGGGCAGCAGTAGGTGAAGTTGGTGGAAAGGACTCTGCATAGTTTCCCTGAGTGATCCTAAAGACTGAGCCTTTCATTCAGGCCTCCCATATCCTCTGACACCTCCATAGATCACCTGGCCTTACAGCAGGTGGGAACATCACTGGGAACATCACTGTCCTCCCGTTGTTCATCGATTTGCTCAAGCGGGCCCAGTAACGTCTCCATTGGAGACTTCATTGTTACTGTGTTTGGCATATCGAATACATCACAGGTAGCTTGCCAGGCTCTGCCGTGCGGGCGAGATACTCTCAGTAGCTTGCCGGGCTCTCTGAGAGGGGCAGAGGAATCGAACTCGGGTCGGCCATGTTGGCTGCTTGCAAGGCAAACGCCCTACCGCTGTGCTAAAGGCTATTTCAACTTTAGGGTCTATGACTTCAGCCCTTTAGACTAAATAGAGTTTCCCCCCATCTCCCCGCAATGGGTCCCTATTTGGTTTTGTTTCTTCTTTATTTATCCTGATGGATTTTTTTTCTCTGTGTGTGGTCTACAGTTTTGAAGAAGTAACAGCAATGAATCAAGAGGTTTCTTGTTTGTTGTACAAATAAAGAACAAGATCATACATGGGCTTATTCATACCTAGATTCTTTTTTCATCATGACTAATCTGATGGTGGTGTTTTTTTTAATAGCATTAAACCTCAGGAGCTCTAAATTATATGATCAGTTACTTTCAAGTGCAGTTATGAATGACTATGGCAATTAGTCCAAGGAGGTCTCCTTGTGGCAAGTGTTTTAGTTCCTTCTACTTTTTCATGTAGAATAGCTACTGGACCCCTTGGAAAAAAATAGTGTTTCTTTTTTTTCCTCAAGAGGTCCAACTGCAGGGTCCAGCTGTAGGTGGTGACCAGCAGGCTGCTTGTGGGGAGCCCTTAGGCTGTTTACGTTGGAAATTTGAAGAACACAGTGGCTGGCTATAGAGTAAATGCTTTCCTATATAATGTGCCTCTGTGGCTACTTTCTCCCTTCCTCCCTCCAGATTCCCATTCTGGCAGTCTGGCAGAATTACAAGAGGTTGTCCAAAACCTTCAAGTCCGTGTGGAAAATTCCAGCACCTGGAGTGTGGAGTTCCAGGAGTTGACTTGCAGAGTGGATAACATCAGTTCTCAGGTCCAGGTGTTCAGTGATTTCCTGGAAAACACCAGAGCTGAAGTCCAGAAGGTAAAAGACTGTCTCTAAGAGATGCCAGACTCAGGTGTTAAAGATTTCCTGGGAGGGGACCAAAAAGTTAGAGGGGGATATGGAAAAGGCTAATGCTTAGAATCCTCAGACTCATTTTTCTTTAAAAGCAGTTCAGAAAACACCAGTGTTGAGCTATGCATGTTAAGTAGAGGCTTAGACCCTACCAACACTGATATTCAGGGATTGGAGGCCGGGATGGACATGGCAAATGCCCAAGCTCAGATGTCAAACAGTAGTTTAAAGAATGCTACTTTAGCATGAATCCGTGTTTTGAAAGGCAATATGGATGGTGTTGATGCTCTAAGGGCTCAGAATCAGGATTTCAGAAGACATACAGGAGGAGCCAGTGCTGAGATGCAGAGGATAGAGGGAAGTCTGCAAAACAGAATTGATTTAAACTCCAAGACCCAGATCTTTAGGAAAAGAAGCTTAATAAACACCAGCACTGAGCTCCAGTTACTAAGGGGTCATATGGTGAGAGCTACTGATGAGAGTTATCTGTTAAAGAGAGTGTTGGAAAATGTCTCTGTCCAGTCCCAGAGCGTGAGCAGCCACCTGGAGCAGGCAGAGGCTCAGATCCAGGTGTTACAGAGAGAGGTGTAAGCCACATACATAATTTACTTTCCCAATTCCAGGCATTAAATGATCAGTTGAAAAATGCCAAGAGAGAGATACAGACCCTAAAACAAGAAATGAAGGTAGCTGAGGCCTTGAAGTCCAAGGTCCAAGTGTTAGAGGGTGATCTGCAGAAGGCCAACGCTGAGATCCAGAGGTTGAAAGGGAATGCAGAAGAAACCAAAACTCTGGCTGCAAAAATCCAGAAGGAAGAGCGTGGCATGGTGGCCCTCCAGGCAGCCATAGCGTCACAGGAGCAACTACAGCAGACACAAAGTAAGTGAGAGAGAGAGAGAGATGTGAAGGAAGGATGCTCTCAGGAGGGCAAGATCTCTTGTCCCTGCAACAGCCCACTGACTTTAACTTCCCCACAGTGGGAAGAAGGATGTGACTGTGGAGGCCCAGGTCCACCAAACAGACTCCATATAACTTATACAGTGATGGGAGGTGGCAGGGGTTGGGGGGTCGGGGATGGCCAAATAGGAGAAGGCACAATCTCTGCTTGTCACATAGTCAGAGTGAGAAAGGGATACTTGGATGATGAAAGGTACAATGAAACAGGCTGTGCTGTGGAAGCAGAGAGCCTGATTCCTGACTTCCTGGCCAAACAAGTGGTGTGGTTAAATTAAGCTACCTTCTCTGAGCTTCACCTTCTTCCTCTGTCCAGCCGGGACATCAAACTTACTTTGAAGAGTTGGCAGACACAGAACATTTCACTTAGTACCCAGAATTCATGTGGACAACATAGTTTGAGGCTCAGGGGCATAGAGAGGAGGAATGTGGGCTCTCCCTTTGAAGCTCAGAGGCTGGTGGAGCAGCCTTGCATGCAAGGCATGTCGAGTGGTGTCAAAGGGGCTGCCCTAGAAGTGGCTCTAGGAACTGAGGGTGGGGAGGGCCAAAGCAGGGCAAAGAAGGGAATATACTGGGTGTGTTTTTGTCGGGGGCGGTGGGCAGAAAACTTGGAGGTGGCTGAGAAAAGATCAGAAGGCATTTGGCTTATGGGCCCGAGCAATAAGACAGTGGGTAAGATCATTTGTCTTGCATGTGTCTGACTCTGGTTCGATCTCCAGCAACTTTGGTAAGGTCCTCAGCATTCCATATGGTCCCCTGAGCACCGCCAGGAGTAATTCCCAAGTACAGAGACAGGAATAACCCCTGAATATTGCCAGGTGTGACCCAAAAATAAAAAAACAAAACAAAACAAAAAAAGATATTTGGCTTTGAGGATATTCCTTGTGGCTGGACATGTAACTCAGGAGTAGACTGCTTGCCTCACAGATATGAGGCCCAGGGTTTGATCCCTGGAACCTCAAACAACAGCTACTACAACTACAACAACAGATGACCTTTGAACTGAGTTCTAAGGGACTGTAAGGTGTGGCCCAGCACACAGAGAAAGAGTGGAGGGTTCACAGAACAGAAGCTGTGAAACCTGCTGTTCCTTCTAGATTGGGGTAAGAAGGACAGCGGGCAGGGGTTTGGATGCTGGCTTTCAAACGACTGCAAGTGAACCACAGTAACTGAAGTTGGTTTTTGCCTTGCAATTCAGTTTGTGTGTGTACACATACGTGTTTCAGAAAGCAAAACTTTAATTTCACAAATGTACTGATTTTAGGATCTGTTTTCTTAATTTTGGTGGCAGTTTCTCTCAAGCAAGTGCCACTTCTGGTGCTGTTTGGCTCCAATATTACTGGGGGGGTGTCGTCAGGGTCATACCAGTGATGCTTGGGGACCATGAAGTGCTGGAAGTTGAACTTAGGGCCTCTGGACTAGGCAGCTATGACAGCCCTACTTGAACTCTCTCCCCAGTCTCCTGGAGTTCTTTCCTTTTTACCATTATTGTTTATTATTCCTTTATGTGGTGCCAAGGATTGAATCAGGGCCTTGTATATGACTCTCTCTTTGTCCATTACAATCTATTTTTCTGTTGTTTTCCTTTTTGTGTTAAACCCAGCAGTGCTTAGGGCTTACTCCTGACTCTGTGCTCAGGGATCACTCCTGGTAGTTCTCAGGAGACCATATGTGGGGCCAGGAATTGAACCAGGGTCAGCCATATGCAATGCAAGTTTCTTAACCCCTGGACAATACCTGTGGCCCAATAATCTATTCCTAAAAAGAGACTTGACACAACCCATAAGTGAGTTAATGATTAAAGCTGAAAAAACAGAAAAACACTATACCAAAAAGTTAGACAGATGTGGAGAGTCATAGGCTACATGCAGAAGGCTTCTGGCTTGGGTGCCAGCTTTCAGACATTAAGGAACCCTTGGGCCAGAGAGATAGTGCTTCAGGTACCAGGGATATGGCAGGAACAGAAGTGTGTAAACTGTCAGATGCTGGGTTGGGGCTGGAAAGAGGGGAAGCAGGAGATCACAGAAGAGTGTTTCCTTGGTGGCCTAGCTGAGTGTCCCCCAAGTCACAGAGCCAAAGGTTCCGAGTTGCTCCCTCCTAGGCCATACCCCAGGTGCATAAGCGTCAATCAGTCTTGTCGCCTTCACTGCAGTCTCTGGAAGGGGTCTGGGGGTCAGCACTGGGCATGCACAACCACCCCAGTCCTCATTTCTCTCCTCTTTACTTCAGATCAACTTCTCCAGCTGATTCTGCAAGGCTGGAAGATCTACAATGGAGCCTTATATTACTTTTCTCAAACCAAGAAATCTTGGCAGGATGCCGAGAATTTCTGTGTGTCCTGGGGAGCTCACCTGGCCTCGGTGACCTCTGAGGAAGAGAAGGTCAGAGCTGCAGGCATGGGGTGGTGCTGAGGGAGTGGTAGAGGGTCTGAGAATTTGGTGTGTGTGTGTGTGGAGAGAGAGAGAGTGAGAGAGAGAGAGAGGTTAGACAGAGGGAGACAAAGGGACAGAGGCAGAGACCTTCTTATCACCCCCTCAGTCAGGAGGGAGCCAGTATTTCCAGAGCTCTGATGAGTGACTGGTCCTGGAGGAAGAAGCACTGCTGTAGACCCCAGCCCAGAGGCCCTCTAATGTCAGTGGCGGAGTGAGGGCTGAGTCACCCCAAGAGCTGGCACTGTACCTCTCTGCCTCTTCCATCCCCTCTGCTCCAGCTGTCGACCTTGATTTTCACATCTGTTAATCCAAGGCTGTGGCGTGCCCCCAAGAGGGAAGCCAAGGCTTCTTGGGAAGGCTAGATGAGATGCACACACGACTGCATGTGAAAACCAGCAGAGGCAGGAGAGTCCCAGATGACCCATTTGGCAAAGGCTTTAGCAGAATTTTCTGCAGCTGACCATGATAGGTTTGGTCTAATTCACCCGACAGACTCCTCGCAGTTTTCCCAAGACTGTTCTTAAACATCTGATGAAGGATGTATTCTATTGTCCAACCCACCTTAATAAGCTGGGCCAGATATGTTTTTGCCTGGTCAGTCCATACAGTCCATATGTCCTCACGGGGGCAACATGGTAGAAGTTGGACTGCTTTGGAGGGGATCTGACTGCTGTGTCAGGTCCTGGATGAACCCCGGAAGATTCAAGAGGGGCTGTGTCTCCTGCAGAGAGTTGGGCTTGTTACCCCCAAGCAGGGAGGAAGCCTGGACACTCCCCAAACCCCTCGCCCTGGCACAAGCCTGGGACAACTGTTTTTTCACACAGGGTGGCACAGCATTCTTTTCCCTACAGGACTTTCTGGTCACATTCACAAAGGACTCTTTCCACTGGATCGGGCTCACAGACCAGGGCACAGAGGGTGTCTGGTACTGGATAGACAAAACCCCGTTCAATGATGCCCAGAGCAAAAAGTGAGTACTGTGTGGTGCTGCCTGCAGGCACTGGCAGGCATGGCTATATGTATCCCTGCCCAATGTTAGTGGCGAAAAGTGGATGTCTGTGTGTGTTAATGGAATGTTCATAATTGTTTATGTTTGTGTGTGTATGTTAGTGGCGTGTATCTGTGTGTCTATGTATGTCTGTGTTAGTGGTGTGTATCTGTGCCTGTGTTAGGTGTATGTACCTGTGTGTCTCTGTATGTGTGTCCATGTATGCGTATGTTAGTTGTGTGTGTCTGTGTTTTTGTGTCTGTGCCTGTGTTAGTGGTGTGTGTCTGTATGAATGGTGTGTTTCTGTGTTTGTGTGCCTGTTAGGTGGGTGTGTGTCTGTGTATGTGTGTCCGTGTGTGTGTATGTCTGTATCTGTGTGAATGGTCTGTGTCTGTGTGTCTGTCTGTGTACACAGGGCATGGTTGTGATCTTCCTGGACCTTGTAGAGTGGTCAGGAGGGGCCAGGTCCTGGGACTGTAAGGCAGTGTGAGAAAGCAAAAACTCTTTCCGCTGTTTGAAGAGGGGCCCTCACCAGGGGGAGGAGCCTTTTCTTCATGGAGTATAATAGAGTCTTCTGGTATGCAGGTTTTGGGACAAAAATCAGCCGGACAACTGGATGTATGGGGAAGGGAGATCGGAAGACTGTGTGCAAATGCAGCAGAAGTGGAACGACATGTACTGTAATGCTCCCTACCAGTGGGTGTGTAAGAAGCCTGGTGGTGGGATTAGATCAGGCCCCAACTGAGAGATGCTGCCCACCCGCCCCTATGCTGGGGCTCAGCCTCCTCCCCAGGCCACCGAGTTCAGCCTGTGAATGCAGCTTGTTCTCAGGATCTTCCATTGGGCTTTTTGTATTCCCTGCTCATGTCTTCTGGTTTAACCCTTCCAATGTGTTTCTCTCACATGATCCAGCATTAGCAATGGCTCCAATAAGACAAAAGATCACTGTATCTTTGAACCCCCTCAGTACCCCAACAAGCCTGTTAGATCTGGGACCTCAATAAAGACATGTTGACTGAATGACTGCTTGGTGCTTATCCTTCATGCCACCACACGCATCTCCCTGGTTTGATTCTCCTTCCTCAACATCTCTTCTGCCCTACACACCTTTGTTTAAGAGCTTTACATCTAGGGATACTTGGTTTATTGCAGCAGCAGTGAGACACCTACTATGGGGAGTTGGCAGAGGAAAAATTCCCAGAAGCCTAAGTGGTCCCCATATTTCCTGAGCTGCAGATGGGATTGAAAATATAATTTTTCCAGTCCATTAAATTACACATCACAGGAGCATCTTTCCATTGCCCTGATGTCCTCTTCAGTCTATTAACTCTGACAGTCTCATCTCTGCCTTTAGCCTCTTCTTGGAGCCATATTTGGTCTTCTAGGGACACAGGTTCCTTCCTGTTGCACTTAGATTGAGCATTTCTTTTCTTTAAAAAGATTTTTTAATTGAATCACAGTGAGATACACAGTTACAAGATTGCTCATGATTGGGCTTCAGTTTTCTAGTGTTTCAACACCCATCATTTCACCAGTGTACATTTCCCACTTCCAATGTCCACAGTTCCCCCCACCCAACCCCCCTGCCTGCTGCTGTGGCAGGCATTTTCTCTCTCTCTTCTCTCTCTTTCTCCTTTTGGTTATTATGGTTTGCAATACAGGTACTGAAAGATTATCCTGTATATCCCTTTACCTATTTTCAACACTCAGTTCTTGTCCAGAGTGATGATTCTTCTCCTTCTCCTTCTCCTTCTCTTTCTCCTTCTCCTTCTCCTTCTCCTTCTCCTTCTCCTCCTTCTCCTTCTCCTTTTCCTTATCCCTCTCCCACTCCCTCTTCCTCTCCCTTCCCTCCCCCATTGCCCCTCTCCTTCCTCTCCCTCCTCCTCTTCTTCTTCTTCTTCTTCTTCTTCTTCTTCTTCTTCTTCTTCTTCTTCTTCTTCTTCTTTTTCCTCTTCTTCTTCTTCTTCTTCTTCCTCCTCCTCCTCCTCCTCCTCCTCTTCTTCTTCTTCTTCTTCTTCTTCTTCTTCTTCTTCTTCTTCTTCTTCTTCTTCTTCTTCTTCTTCTTCTTCTTCCTCCTCCTCCACCTCCTCCACCTCCTCCTCCTTCTCCTCCTCCTCCTCCTCCTCTTCTTCTTCTTCTTCTTCTTCTTCTTCTTCTTCTTCTTCTTCTTCTTCTTCTTCTTCTTCTTCCTCCTCCTCCTCCTCCTCCTCCTCCTCTTCCTCCTCCTCCTCCTCCTTTTGGGTCACACCCGGCAATGCTCAGGGATTTACTCCTGCCTCTACACTCAGGAATTACTCCTGGCAGTGCATGGGGAACCATATGGGATGCCAGGGATCAAACTCCAGTCAACCATGTGCAAGGCAAGAGCCCTGCCCACTGTACAATTGCTCTGCCCCCAGGGTGATCATTTCTAGCTATTATTGTTATACTGTTTCCTTCATTAGATTGGTAATTTCTAAAGCAGCTCCTCACCCTGCTTTATGGAGTACCACCCCACAGCAGGCATATTTCTGGAACTCTTTCTCTCAGAGCTTCCACTCATTCAGGTTCTGCCCTGACCACTGGTGGTCTCTGGGCTTGACTCCTATCCTTCTTTGCTTGGCTTAGTGAGCTAGTTGTATCTGTGGTGTGGTCTCATGACACCATCAGGAACAGACATAGAATAGAAGTATGTTCATAGCACATTTGAGTGAAATCAGTCAAAAGGACAGGAATCAATATAGAATGATCACTCTCATATGTGGGTCTTTTAAAAACATTAAAATATTTTTAGTTTTGGGGCCCCAGCTGGTGATGCTCAAGAGTTATCCTTGGCTCTTTGCTCAAGAATTACTCCTGGCAGTGCTCAGGGGACATTAGGGAATGGCAAGAATTGAACCCAGGTCAATTGCGTGCAAGGCAAGTACCCTTACCTCTGTACTATCTTTCTAGCTCCTCATATATGGGTCTTAAAGATACACAACAAAGGTCCAAAGGCAACATAATGGGAGAACTGATCCAGACGATTAGGTTGTGGGAATGGTTGGGGGGGGGGTGTTGGGGTCCTTGGGAGAAGGACGTGGGTACACTGGTGATAGGTGTGGTGTTGGAATTATGTGCATGAGAAACCATTATTAATAGTGTTGAAATCCACAGAATCTCAATTTCTTTTTTAAAAAAGAAATAATAGAAATCTGTTCTACCTTTCGTATATCTTTGACTGTACAGGACTTAAGAAGCAAGACACTTTCCTTGCCTGTGGTCAACCTCAGTTTGATTTTTGGTATCACATAATAGTCCTCTGAGTACCACCAGGAGTGATTCCTGAACACTGAGCTAGAGAATAATGACCCACAAAACCAACCAACCAATCAATGAATTGACCAAACTGAAAATGAATGTGGAAACTTGCTTCTGGATTCACGGTTGTGTTACAGTGAGGTAGCTTTTACTTTAAAAGTAGGGAACCATATTGCTTTAAACATTACAACTTTGTAGTATATTTTGTTGTTATTAAGTAATCCCATCAACAGCCAAGACTCAGAGACTATAAAAACCAGCTCCCGGAACCGCGTGGCCGAATTCGCGGCTGCACGACATCTTATTATGACATCTTATTATCTCATTCCTACTTTGGACAAACTGGCAGGCTACCGAATGTAGCCTGCCCACACGGCAGAGTCTGGCAAACTCCCTGTGGCGTACCCAATATGCCAAATACCAGTAACAATGATGGGTCTCATTCTCCTAAAGAGCCCTGAATATAATCTCAGTGCTAGGATGAAGGATACGTTACTGGGGCCTGCTCGAGGCAATCGACAAATAACAGGATGGTCGTGATTCGTGATTCATGAAGTAGGGCACTGTTCCTTTAATTCTTTTTTTGATCACACCTGGTGTTGCTCAGAGATTATTCCTATTCCTAGCTCTGCACTCAGAAATTACTCCTGGCAGTGTTCAGGAGACCATATGGGATACTGGGGAGTAAACCTGGGTCAGCCACATGTAAGGCAAATGCCCTATCTGCTAGACTACCGCTCCAGCCCCCCTTTAACACTTTAAAAAGAAAATTTCACCTCAGCTGTGTTTATGAGGCAAGACAGGGTTTGGTGATTGGTGGGTTTCACTGAAGGTCATACAACAGTTAGCTAGATGTTTATTTAATCTGTTAATTTCCTGGTGATGGAGAACCCCTTGAAAGAATTCTAGCTTATACCTGAGAAATAAAAACTCTGCTACTAGAAACCTTCAGGCCCCAACGAGCAACGCGCTGCTCTCTTCTTAGATTCTACAAGAAAAAATTTAAATTTCTCATGTTTAACATAGCATAGTGGTAGGGCATTTGCCTTGCGCACAGCCAGCCTGGCCGAGCCGGGTTCGATTCCTCCGCCCTTCTCAGAGAACCTGGCAAGCTACCGAGAGTATCTCACCTGCACGGCAAAGCCTGGCAAGCTACCCGTGACATATTCAATATGCCAAACACAGTAACAAAAAGTCTCACAATAGAGATGTTACTGGGCCTGCTCGAGCAAAAATTGATGTTTAACATTGATATGTGTTGATCATTTGTCATATATTTCTAACAGTTTTCTATTTATAGACTTCATTTTTATAATGTTTAATGCCCCAAATATCCATGATGATGAAATCTCCTTGAAGAAGGTTACTTTTGTAACCTTCTTTTGTTTGGGGATCATACTGGACAGTGCTCAGGTGCTATTCCTGGTTCTGTGCCCTGGAACCATATCTGGTGCCCAGGATTGAAGCAAGTTAGCTGTGTGCAAGGTCAGCAACCAGCGGTAGGATGTTTGCCTTGCACGCAGCCAACATGGCCGACCCGAGTTTGATTCCTCCGCCCCTCTCGGAGAGCCCGGCAAGCTACTGAGAGTATCTCGCCCGCACGGCAGAGCCTGGCAAGCTACCCGTGAGGTATTCGATATGCCAAACACAGTAACAACAAAGTCTCCAATGGAGACGTTACTGGGCCCGTTCGAGCAATTTTACTTTTTATCCACATTCATTGATTCATAAAATCTTTATTGTGTCTCTGCTTAGAGAGTACTAAACACTCTTGTAGTTTTTAGGGTCAACAGTGAGCCAAATAGATAAAAATCCTCTTGCAGTTGGCACTCGAGTAGGGAGGAGAGAAAGTGGGGGCTACGAGCTCCTTCTCACAATCATGGGGTGAGAGGAAATCCAGTGCGACATGAAGCCAGGAGGTGGTGACATCTTGGGGGTAGAAGGTTACTGTTTATCCTCAGTCCATTCAGCCATAAACTGTGAGCCAAGACCACAGAGAGCAAACAGGGAGACTGTGTCCTGCATGCACTCTAGGGTCAGTCCTCATGCCCTGGCTGATCCTTTTGTAAGCCAAAGAAGGTTCTGGAAATGGCAACATCCCTGAGACAGAGTCAGCATGGCAGACGGAGTGGAGCCATCCCCAAGGACAGAGTGAGGCTCTCAGCTGTTCTTGGGGGGAAGTGGTCAGTGAGTCACCCTGGTGCCTGCCTGTCCTGCCCTGGGAAGCCTGGACAGCTGCCACTTTCGGGGAACTTGGACTGGGACACAAAACTGCTACCACAAGAGGGTTGCTGGTGACACTCTGGAGCCCACTGCCTTTACCCTTGGCTCAACGTGTCTGTCTTTTTGGGGACAAGGACCCAACCTGGGAGACTGGGGTCCCACCTGGGACTGAGGGATAGCCCTGAATCCTGCAGTGGGCAGCTGGCAGACCCTTTCTGGCCAGCATGAAATGACCTCCTGTTGGTCTTCTCAGGGTAAGGAAGTCTCTCTCAGTTGAGGATGGGAGCTCATTTTGGAGGAGGGCTGGAGTGATAGCACAGCAGTAGGGCATTTGCCTTACAAGCAGCCAACATGGCCGACCCGAGTTCAATTCCTCTGCCCCTCTCGGAGAGCCCGGCAAGCTACCGAGAGTATCTCACCCGCACGGCAGAGCCTGGCAAGGTACCCATGATGTATTCGATATGCCAAACACAGTAACAACAAGTCTCATGATGGAGACGTTACTGGGCCCG